ACGAATGAAAAGAATTCCCTAAATTCATGTCGTGGAATTTCTGGTCATGCGTAGAATTCTGGACTACCTTCTTTTCGTTTCATTTCAAACCATTCCTCAAGATAATTCAAGATACAAGAAATATTAATTACATAAAAAACGCAATCGAAGATGTCAGTTAAGGATTAACATTGACTTTATTTCACAAAAGAAGGAAATAACTGATACTGTTAATGGATCTAGACAGAAGGGATTCATTTTCGTTAAACACAAATGCTTGGTGATTAAAGTAAACCATTCAGTACATTCCCAGGTTAAGGGATTCAATCAATCAGTCAATCAATTAATCAATCAATCATCCATATATCGATCAGTCAGTCAGAAAAAAATGCAAGAGCAGCCTTACAATGCAAGAACATGTGTTTTAATTTTAGGAAAGCCACTTAATATTTGTAAATAAATTTCAGTAACCGATTGAAATCGTTTCTATTTCGCTGTCCTCAAAAGTCAAACTTAAGTTATTTCCGATTTTAAAACGTCTTTAGCATGTTAATTTAGACAATTTGTCCAATGTTTTAAAGTTTGTGACTTAGAGCTTTTTAAGTGGATTTGAATATAAAAGCAATTGAACAGCGGAAAAATCCACTATAACTAACCCTAACCCTGACTATTTTAATAGTTAATAGTTTCCTTACCATCAACATATCATTATAGTGCATGACAAGTACACGTGCGCACATTACATCTTATTTTCAACCTCTTAACATCTTGTTTTTTTTTCTTTTAGAATTTGGTGATTTATTGCAGTACATTTATTAAGTTAAATGCTCTGTCCTGAAAGTGAAAACCCATTGAAATACAATTTATTCAAAATCGTTGATTTAATCAATTTCAAAATCTAATGATTATTTAAAACCTGTAAAGAAAAATCACGTGCGTTTTCATTGAATGGTTACTTGTATAAAACAAGAAACTGGCTAAGCATTGGAATTATTTTGTTATTTACGATACTCAACACAGGGATTTTCACCGGCAATTTGTTACGTAAACATGGGATGTATTTAAGAAATAATTGAGCATATTTTGGGGTAGCGAATCTATGGAATACCTAGTAAGTTGTACCCCAATAACTACAACCATAAGGAAACACAATTGTGAAAGATATTGCCTGGCATACCTTAAAACTAAATAGAAAGCATGAGTTTCGTCTTGGTTATACAGAAGTGGAAAATACTGCAAACGGTTAATAAATAGTTAGAAATCCGAATATTCAAATCTTAATATGTTAATACTCGCATTATCTTTTTAAAAACATGAAGTATTTGAAGACCGATTACAAATACACAATCAAATGTTCTTATGTTTAGGGAATGTATAATAATATGATTAAGAACAAACAAGGAAGCTTTTTACTACAGCTTAAAAAATAAACCCAAGTTCAGAGTCCGCTTTTCACGTGTTTCCGATGAAAGAAACGCAGATGTATCGATGTATGTAGATTTTGCACTACAGAGGATTCAAAAACGAAGGGTAATATATCTTGACTATTTTGACTAACTAAACATTTGATTTAGTTTTTGACTTTTTTTTCCTGCTTTATGGGCTGAATTTCATCCTTATATTAATCGGATTAGTCAGTATAAAGTATGCATGTGTATGTACATTGTATGTGTAATTTTGTCGTAGCGTATTTCCGTCACTTGTTACATGGGTGTTCTTAGCCAGTAGTTCAATAGTACAACATAAAGAATACGGCTCTTTGTGATTTAATTAGCTTCTTCATTTCAAAGTGAAATCATGCAGTTTATTATTAAGAGGCAACAACGATATTTTCCTTACATGTACCTGGCATTGCATTATTTTTTACCTTAAATATTGATTTTTCACAAGCCTAATTCTTTTATGTAAAAGTCCAGCAAAAGAATTTTTGACGACAAATGAATCTTTTTTTTTTTTTTTTTTTTTTTTCAATTGATATCACAGAATCGTTTAAAAGTAAATAATCAGTTGTTGACAAAGATCCACGCTGTATTAAAATACAAGAATAAATGTGGTAAAGGTGAAAAAATACTGCATGGTGTTAGAAGTTTTTGTTCTTTAATGATACAATAAAACATAAGAAATGTGCTCCTTTGCGTTGGTACAAAGAACAAAAAAGGCAATTATATGTATCTCAACAACGTTAGGAAATCGGAATTCATTTCAACTAATATAAAAGAAGGAAACTCCAATAAGGCGTTTTGGAATTTTTTTTTATTTGAATTTATTGTCTTCGTGCAATTTTCAACCAAATCTTTGAAGACAAGGTTTTAAGAAAAGTTATAATTTGTTTGTTTGTTTGTATTATAAATAAACTCGGTATGCATTCAATAATTGTTAGTATTTTTTTAACAGGGCAAAACACACTGATGTTAAATTATGGCATCTTTCACAGGTAAGTCCTTAAGAAGTCTTGCAATAATTATAAATTTCTTTTGAAAGATACTGATTTAAAATATCTCCTCTGTGGAAACCCTGACATGAAACATTTTTTAATCATTTAAAACAGAACGAGGATTACAATAATAAAAAATTGTAATAAATGCAAACGAATTAAGTTAAGATCATAAGAAAATAATATAGATAGGTAATCTTATTTTGTTCACTGAAAACGTTCCTTTGTATTTTAGATAAATTAACTCCCTGATATTGACAAACACAACTTATGAGTACATATTTTATATATTTTGAAAAAAAAAGTAAAACTTTATTGATGTAAATGATTCATTAAAAGACATTTATATAACATAGCTATGTGAATAAGGATTCTATTACAGCATTATATTATCATTTTCACTTCAAACATATATATTGAAAATACTTTACTTTTCGTAATTTCCACTGCATAATTGTAGATATGAAGTATATATTCAGGGACACTTAACCATATCCTTGTTTTGCTCCAAAGGAATGACAAACATTTAATGTGATAGAACAGTTTAGGTGATAAATGTTTGCTCAAATAATTTGATATTATATACCAGCAAAAATGAAATACTTAAAGCTCTGACTATCTCCACATTGTGGGAAACTACATTTTATGTAAACGGATGTTCTCTTATTTCCTTCTCCTTGGTTGAAATTAAACACGATATGTAGAGCACTAGTGATGGTTCATGATAAACTTTAACTCATACCTGATGTCCAACGAAATACGTATTCCAAATGCTACTATCGCAAATACCCTTTTCTTCCTTTCAAAATAATGGACGCAAATAATATAAGAGATTGCATATTCAGATAATCACGTGATGTACAAACAACCTAAAAAGTTGAGTCTCCAATAAATAAAAATGTGTCATCTTTTTAAAGAGTTTTATTTAATAAATATTTGTTATTATACAATTAATTACACCTTATGAGGTCAACATGGTAAAATAAGGACCCGAGACCTGTCCCACGAGGTGACCTGACCTGACCGAGGCCGCGTAGCGGCAGAGGCCAAGTCAGGTCAGCGAGTGGGCCAGGTCGAGGGTCCTTACTTCACCATGTTGAACTCATAAGGGGTAATCAATTGTTTTATTGTACCGATATAAGTTAACACAATTTTTGTAGGCTTAATTACAAAAAATAATCAATTGTGTATTAGACCTACGAACTGTTATTATCTGATTCAGTGTTCCTTCGGGATCGGGATTCGCTAGTGAAGTTGTTTACTTTCCGCCTGCAAGTTTTGTAAGTTTTTGCACCGCCGATTTTTTTTAAAACATTCTGTGCTTGTCAGTAACATGCACTTTTATAAATTCACAGAAACCATTCCCGAGTACAATGACAATCTTGTGCAGACTTTTACTATACAAGAAAGCCGAGTCTGCATTCGTTGAATTTGGGATTGTAACGAAAGTTTCAATAAAAAAGATTAATTTTATGACGCATCTAAAGGCCAATCGTGTTCCGTATCCTAAAAAGACTATACATATTTTTATAACGGCATTTTTTGTAACGAACAATCATTATTGTATGCATATATTTTTTAACTTGAATGGAATTTGAATTAAGAGGCCATTTTTAACGGTCATAATTTTTAAGGACCGTCATTGTACCCCATGTGCAATGATTCTTAGGTCATTATTGCTGTAAACGGTACTTTTTGGAGTCATTATTGAGTTTAAAAGCCTTCTAACAAGCCAATAAAATTTGAGTTTTCTTAATAGAGGTATAATAAAATTTATTACAGCTAACTCCTCGTAACTCATTTGTGTTTTATAGACAAGGTTCAACTGACTCCAGAAACAGTATTTGTAAGTCCCGGATGTAGTCTAATTCTAACAGCCTCATGTAATAACACAAGCTTCAATGGCCACCTGACTTGGACAAGATTCATCAACGACAAATTTGCAAAATTAGACACCGGTAACGCAAAATATGACCAGTGTTTTTGCCAGGGTAAATTAAATGCAGCACGATTGGCGATAAATCAAATAGAACCTTCCGACGAAGGCAAATACAGAGTAGAGGTCAAACAACAAAACAGTCATCTCGAAAGTAACGTGATAAAACTTAATGTATTGGAGGGTAGGTGAAAAGATTACAATAACAATTAAGAATTTAACTTTGATTTAAATGTTATGCTATTTTGCAGAATAACCCTGTCATGTTCTAATACAGTTACGTTTAGCAAAAATTTAAACTGATAATACAAGTATCTGGACGCTGTATATAAAAAAAAACCATCATACAATTACTCAGCAATGATTTTAGTAAATTTTTTCTTTTTCATTTTTCATAATAATATGAACACTTTTTAATAAAAATGAATGTTTAACATGCATTAAAATGAATGTTTAACATGCATTGTCTTTCTAATGATTACAATTTTCGTAGATGTCAATGCAGTATGCAAAGAAGAACTTAACCTTCTACGCTACAAGGAATGTGAGAGCATTGCAAAGGAAGCTCTTCGTTTTATTTTTGATAGATTAATTCCGCCAAATGATCTTGCTAAGCACCTTTCTGTGTACAAATATGACCAATACAAATCTTGGAAATGCAGCCACGATCAGCTTCAAGAGCTTTTTCCAAGTACGTAGTAACAATGTGACACTTTATCCGACCATATTTGCTTACTACAACCCCCCTCCCCCCACCCCACCCCACCTCACCCACCTCAAAAAAAAAAAAAAAAAAAAAAAAAAAAAAAAAAAAAAAAAAAATTAAACAGGGATCCATTTAAAGGAATAGAGGAAAAAAAAATTAATGAATGTGAAAGATCTACAAGGCTATATTCTATGGGTTCTGTTTGCTTCATGTTCTATTTACTATTCGAATTTCTTTACTGGTTTTATAAGACAGATAAATGTTCCTATGTGTACCCTTTACAAGAATAGATAGATTTTCACGTTAAATAAAATATCTTTAGCATATTTACGGAGGAAACTATGATAGCATCCGGTAATTGTTGTTCTTCCTTATTCCTTTAAACTTCACGTCAATGGAAATATCTTAAAAAAAAAAAAAGAAAAAAAAGAAAAAAAAAGAAAAAAAAAAGGAATCTGATGAAAATTCGGTTCATTCACGAATGGAACGGTTTTGTAGTGTATCTTTGTAGTGATTTAAATTATTAGAAATCTAAATGTTCTTAATTTAGTATATCAATGATTAACATTCAAATAATCTCTATGTACATGCATCCCTGTCTGTTCTAAAAGTGAGTACATGTATAAAGTGCACAAAATTTCACTTCGTCAGATGTGCTATACGCCATTACGAAGATCATAGTAATTCTGAGCTAAAAACGTAGTTCGGTCGGATTCTTTCTAACAAAATATCATTTCATCAAAAATAAAAGGATAAGTGAAAGTACTAAAACATTTGTTGTCAAAGAACAAACGATGACTCTGAAATCGGACGATGAATCAGACTTTGAAAAAAAAAAAATCCACTTTTCCTCTTCTCAAAATCCTTGGTGAAGGCGAAATTATTGTTCCCAAATTCCTTCCTCTATTTGTGCTTCCAATCTCCATGCTACACTATACTGAATAAACTGTCATCATCAACCTAAGTTCGTAAGGGTTTGTTTTATATACTGTAGAAGCACAAATTTTCGTGGGGCTAAAATTTCGTTGATTTATCATCTAAAAAGGTTTCGTGGGCATCAAATTTCGTTGTTTCAATAGTAACCCTATTCAATATATAGTAATATGAATATTTCGTGTGGGATTTAATTTCGTTGCTAATTGTTAACAACGAAATAAACGAAATAAAATCCCCAACGAAAATTTCTGCTTTTACAGTATATATATATATATATATATATATATATATATATATATATATATATATATATATATATATATATATATATATATATATATATATATATATATATATATAATTCATCCGTAGCTTAATATATGTGTAGTAAAAATGTCCTTGACATATTGTATTACCTGAGAATGAACTGTGCTTCTAATTCTAGCCTACATCTTACTTTTGTTACTTTAGGTAAAGGATCAGTTTCTTCAAAAAACTTTGACATTCCACTTCTCTATAAACTTTTACGCAATACAACAACAGTAAAAGAACCGGTGAATGGTTGGAATATTGAGCCAAATTTGGAAGATACAGATGAAGGAGACGATATTGAACGAATTCACCAACACAGAAATTTTCTTTGTCATTTAAAAGTCAAGCAACTTTCTGACGAAGAATTCGAGAGTCGATGGTTCGATCTCACAACGGTAAAAAAGATCAAATTTCAAGGAGTAAACAGAATATCATGTAAAGTTAAAGTAACCATAATTTTCCTGAAAACGTTTTCCCGCTGCAGGACAGATGATACATTAAACAAAACATGGACGATTGGATCAATATATATTTTTGGGACTTATTCTAGGTGTAAAATGTAGCAAATTTAAAAGGTATAAGGAAATTGTTAGCTTTCTACAATGTTGAAGATACTACCTTTCTGTAATCGTTCTCATAACTATAAAATTTTATTACTTTGTTGGAGATTTTTTGTGAAATTTTTAATGAAAAATTAAAGTTTAGGCGTGATAAAAGGCTCCAAGTAACGAGTATAGGTCTTAATTTGCAGGCCTACACCGGCATATGGCGGCGTTTCAATATGAGTGAAAAATTCTCAAAGGGACGTTAAACAGACAAACAAACAATACACAAGTAGAAACATGACTCTAGTTATTTATATGATTATTTGAAAGAAAATTTTGTATCATCTGTCTTAAAACGTTCCATCATTGTCATCTATCCCACGTGTAACTTTCATGTGTATTAAGTCAACCAACAACTTAAACTGATCCCGTTATAAGAGAATGGTTTGATTTTTGTTATAACGAATGCTCCATCTTTAATGATATTCTGAACTTGCTAAAAGTATACAGAGATATTATCCTTTTAGGCAATTGACAGGCTGAGCAAAGGAACCCTCCGGAAAAAATTATGTTACTTAAGAAATAAGAAATTTCAACAAAAGGAAAAGGTTACAAAGAAGAAGTATTCAAAAAGAGGAATTATGAGAGGTGAGTACACTTTCATTTTAACAGGATACAAGCAAAATTATTTATATAATTAAGTTCATTTTGTTGACATTAGGTAAAGGGAGAGTGAAGGAAAAACATATATTTAAATAAGTTAATTTGAAAAGTTTACCAAAAAAACATTTGACAATACTTCTTGATTGAAAAAAGTAAAATACAAAGAAAATTTGAAACAAATAAGGAAAAATAAAGGAATTCTAAAACATATTTTAAAAAGTGAATGGTAAATTTAAATATATGAATCAGAAATACCGACACGCCTACATGTACATATATCACTCAAGTATTATTTATGATAAAGGTTATAGTTACATATTGCATACACTTTAATATTTCGAACAAATACTTTTGAATTGATATTTTAAAGAGTACAAAAACATGCATTATTTTTTTTCCTTAGCATTTACATACAAAGTGTATTCATATTTGTTATTACAGGATTACAATAGCAATGATATTGAGAGAAAATTGTCAAACAATCTAAATCTTAAAGTTCCTCTTTTAAATATGTTTTATTCTGACCGAGAATATTTAAAAGGATTTAAAGAATCTTAATAGCAGGAAGTCCTTTCACTGATATATTTCAAGCGAAAATTGTGACATGACTTGAGATTAGTTTCTAAATGAAGTTTTTAAAAAATCTAGTAAAATATAATTTTGTACTACCTTTACATAGTTTATTTCAATGAAACATCCATAAGATATACATGTGCTTGTTTATATGCCATTGTTTTTATTTCAAAACCCTTAACATTTAAAAATAATAGTTTATTAAGCGCCTTAACGATACATAACATGTTTATAAAACATTTTTAGATCCTCAATCGGAAATTGTATCAAGCTGGCGATTAGAAGATATGGTGTTTTGCGAAGAGATACGTTTTGTGGAAAAAGCTTACAATATTGTCCGAAAACAAAAGCTGGTGGTCATAATCGGTAGAAGCGGATCAGGTAAGACTGCAACAGCAAGACACTGTGCGCTGAAACTTCAAAAAGAGGGATGGCAATTGGTACCCATTGACGATATTAGAGAAATAAAGAACGTACAAGCAAGGGGGAAATGCGCATTTATATTTGATGACCCAGTAGGAAATCTAGGCCTCGACGAAAGGAAAGTATCGGATTTAGAGAGGTGTCATAGCGATGTTTTGCAGCTTTTCAGACATGATGATCATAAAATTATAATAACGTGTCGTAAAATTGTATACAATGAAGCTAAGCAATATCATATCTTCGACAATTATAGCGTTGTTGATATTGAAGACAAAGACTGTCTTTTGAACCTAGGCGAAAAAAGAAAACTGTTACAAGCATACGGTATAGAGACTTTGGTTGATTTGTCATCATTGGACCGGGTGGATCTTATGTTTCCCCTAATGTGTTACATGCTGTACAAGAATAGTGGGGGGATGTCCGCTACCTCCAAAGCAGTTTTAGATCCCCGTGATTATCTTTTAAAACAATTAGACATAATGAGTAAATCAGAGGGGACTAAAACACTGTATGCATCTTTGGTGTTTCTCATTATAAACAACAACTGTTGTACAACAGAAGACTTAAAGAAAACAGAAATATTGGCCGATATATCTAAAAAGTGCGGTATTCATGACCACCCTCCCTATGGAAAAGAAATACAAGAAAAACTGAAACATTCCGAAAATACCTATGTAATCAGAACAGAATTTGGATTCAAATTTCTCCACGAATCTCTTTTTGAAATTGTAGCATTTCATTTCGGACGTGATGTCGATAACCAGGCTTTGATTCTTCAGCATTTAAACATAGAATTTTTAGCCAAAAACACTTACCTTGAAAGCAGCGGAGACACCAGTGCAGAGATGGGTATTAAAATTCTTCCCAAAAATTTCAAAATACTAGCCCAGCGATTATTTCTTGATCTTCAAGGCATAGTTACACTAAATGTGCAAACTGGCACACTCAATTCCATATTTTCTAACAAATGTTGGAGAGTCGATGAATTTGTCGGGATGTTCTTTTCAACCATTGGTAAAAAGACCGTCGTTGAGCTATTTTCAAAATCATACCAAATATTGCAAGAAAAAACAATATCAAGAGAGCAAAAACGAGGAAGTGCATATTTAGAAAAACAAGAATTTATAATGGGAAATCACAGTGGTAGAGATGCAGCCAAGATAACTGATGGAAGTAAAATAAGACTTATTGACTGGATTATTTGCAACGGACATCTACCGTTTGTTCATGCTTTCCTACCTAAGTCAAAGAAGTTTCCTACATGGATGTCCAGCCCACTGATAGGAAATAAGCGACTTTTTTGGCTTTCTATATATAGTACAGAGAGGGATATGTTTGAATTCACATTATCAAATTTGACGAAACATCAAATTGACGAAAGTATTAATACACCATATCATTCGTATCATACCCCACTGACCCTTGCTTGTTCACTCAATGCATTTGAAATTGTAAAACTTCTAGTAGAAAGGGGTGCAATCATTGAGAAATGCAACAATAGAGACGAACTCCCGTTACTAATTGCTCTTAAAAGTGGGTCAGAGGAAATTGTCAAATATCTGCTGCTTAACCGAGCTCTAGTTAAAGGCAGTTTTGAATGTGTTTGTCCATTTTATTTTGCAAGTACAGGTGTGAATGAAGGTATTTTCAGATTACTTTTATGCAACTGCGATTGTTCATCGACCTGTCACGATGGAAAAACACCTTTACACCTTGCAGTACAATATGGATTTGATGATATATCTGAGAACTTGGTTTTTCATGGTGCTGATGTCAATTCCATAGACGAACTGAAAGAGACACCTCTGCATATTGCCTGCTCAAACAATAATGAAAAAATTGTTAAATTGCTAGCAGAGAAAGGAGCAAATTTCCACATTCGCAACAACAGTAATATGTTACCTTTACAAATTGCTGTAATAAATGGTTTTGAGGACCTTTTACTAAACCTACTACTTGAATTTCCTCTTCAAGAGTTTAAATCAGCAATCAACGGTTGCTACATAGAAAGTGTTGCACACGATCAGGGTTCCTTACAATCTGCTGCAACCTACGGTGCTGACGGAATTTTGCAGTATCTCTTTAGGAAATTTTCGTCCGAAAATCTGAGAAAGTTTTTGAGGAGATGTGAAATTGGAAGTATTATCGTTGATGGCAAGACGTCGTTACACCTTGCAGTTGACTATAGATTTTCTGATGAAGTTGAATGCTTAATTCATCGCAGTTCTGACATAAATGCAACAGATGTTAAGAAGGAAACTCCATTGCATATTGCTTGTTCCAAGAATTACCCAAGTATTGTTAAATTGTTAATAAAAGAAGGGGCTAATATAGAAATGCTCAATTCTGCAAACGAATCCCCTGTGTGTATTGCTATGAATAATGGTTTACAAGATATTTTACTGTGTTTTATGTTAACAAGTCCTTTTCAGAAATTCAAATCCTTGCTGCAAAAATGTAGCATCGAAAATATGCACAGATCTAACATAAATCTATTTAACGCTTGGTCCGTAAATGGATTTGAAGGAGTGATGCAATATCTATTAAAGTGCTGTCCTGTTGAAAATTTCAGATTACTATTTAAAAACAACGACTTTTCATCAAAATCAACTCCTTTACATCTTGCAGTAAAAAGAGGATTAATAAACGTTGCTGAAAGCTTAATTGATTATGGGTGTAACGTGAACGCGGTAGATGAAGGAAATCAAACACCGCTGCATATTGCTTGCTCACTGAATGATATAAAGTCTGTCGAATTACTTGTAAAAGCCAATGCTCACATAATTATGTCTGATTTGAATAATGAATCCCCTGCATGCGTTGCTGCTAGACTTAGATTCGAGAATATAGTTATATACCTTTTGGAAAATTGCTCTGCTGAAAACTTGAAATTGTTATTGGAAAAATGTGAAACTACGAGTACGTTTTACAAAGGCAAGACATCTTTACATATCGCAGTGGAGTATGGATATAATGAAGTTGTGGAAAAGTTAATTACTCGTGGTGCCAATGTAAACGCTAGAGATGAAAATGGCGATACGCCATTACACTTTGCCTGCGCTCACAATTTTAGAAATATCGTTCAAATCCTTTTAAAAAAGGGGGCAGATGTAGAAATGTACAATTCTAACAACGAATCGCCCCTGTTCATGACTATAGAGAAGGGCTCTGTTGAGATATTACAATATTTCATGTTGACAACTCCCCATCAAAAGTTCAAATTATTGCTGGAGAAGTGTAATATAGAAAAATTATCTATATCTCCAGAATCTCCCTTAATTGTTGCTCTTCGGAAAGGACCAAATAAAACTGTCCAATATCTATTGAAGAGTTGTCCAATTAAAAATCTCAAGTTACTTTTTGATCATTCTTTTACCAACTATCTAAGTGCAAAAACACCTTTGCATGTTGCAATAGAAAGGGGATTGATTGAAGTTGCAGAGAGCCTGATTCGTCTTGGTGCAAACGTTAATGCAATTGATGAAATTGATCAGACACCGCTGCACTTAGCTTGCTCTCGAAATGATATAAAGACTGTTAAGTTATTAGTGAAAGAGGGCGCAAATATTTTTAGCTATAGTGCAAATGATGAAACACCGATGAGTTTGGCTGCAAAAAACGGTTTGGAGGAAATAAGCCAAGTTCTATTCAAACATTGTCCTCCAGAATACAGAAAAATACTTAAAAAACTGTAACCAGAAAACAGTAACTGAAAATCGTACTGCCTAAAACACATTGAATTCCATGCACTTAATAAAACAATCCCATCACCATATGACCAATATAGTACTGAAAGTCTCAGAGCTTACTGATAAAAGTTTCACAACTACTAGAATTGTTCTGCTGTCGTTTGTAAATGCTGATGTTTACCGGTATATTTACTGTGGTTACCGAAAATCAAGTCACAGTTGTTTCTGAAAAGCACTGTCGTTTTACGATTCGCTTTGCCGATTCTGATGAATACTGTTGAAAATGTTTTCGATGATGAAAATTATTGAGATTCACGAATGTATTGTTCTTTGATGGAACACATCTGAAATAACCCTTACGTTAGAAAAATGTAAGTAAAGAAAAAAAAATATATAAGCACATTGAATTGATTTCTGATATATGTTTTAAGGAAAAAATAAAGACATCTGGAAATGTACAATATTATAATACAAATTCTTATTAAGAGATTAAGAATGCATTTTAGTTATGGAACAGATTTCTTAGAACTTTTCATTTCAAAGACTTTTTTTTTCAAGAAGTACATTATGAAATGATGAAAACGTGAATAAAATCAGTATTTTTTGTTGTATCTTAATTTTCTTTCATTATGTTTTGATTAATCAGAGCTCTCTTTTCTTTTTATAAGACTTTTCTAAGAGCAATGGACAATTTCGAAGCATTAAGTAAAGCATCAAAAGCAGGTCTTCAGTTTTAATGGAACCTCCGAAATTGTACACATATAATGTTTTTATGTTTCTTATGTTTTGGGATTAAAAAAAAAATAAAAATGTGTTTTAAATCGGTTTCCAGATAAGTATTCGTTTAACTCTCATTTAGATTGTTGATAGTTTTTGCTTCCGATGCACTTTTTTCTTCTGTTTTAAATGTACTACTAGGTAGGAAAACAAAATGAAGAAAGATAATTTTGTTGCTCTTGTTTAACGTTTATGTCTTTGTGAAGTCTGTTATATATTATCCAGTTCAATATATATATATATATATATATATATATATATATATATATATATATGTTTTGTTCTAGATACATATATTTTCTAAAAAGTTCCTCATTGATCAATTGGACGTCGATCATAACATACATGTACTAATATAATTGTTTTCATTATAAACGATTTAAAAAAAAAATTATTTTAATCACTTTAAATTTAATAACTAAAACACGATGAAAATTTTAAGTCATATTTGTTGGATCAATATATAAATGATATAGCGAATCTTCCATCCCGGCCGAATTTATCTATAGTAAAATTATTAGTCTGCTTTGTGTAAGTAAATCAAATACGACCAGCGTCATACGACAGTATTACATAATGAACACTATCTCTTAAAATACCTCTGCTTTAAGTGCACTTTTACGAACCTAGGGGGATAAGAAATTTACATGAATGCTGTCGGTCCTTCATAATTATTCTTGTTGAAATTACGACCACTATTGAAATAATTATTTCAAAAGTGGTTGAGAGTGGTTTTCAAAAACCTAACAGAGGCTGCAACCACTTTTGAAATAACCACTATTGAATTCAAAACCTCTATAGACATCATTGTTTCAAGAGAACGTTATTTCAATAGTGTTTGCAACGTGTGTTGGTTTTTAAATACACTCTCAACCAATATTGAAATGATTATTTCAATAGTGGTCGTTATTTCAATAGCGGTTGCAACACACGGGTCTTTCGGATGAAACCTTAAAACCAAGGTCCTGTGTCATGGTATGCGTTGGCACGATAAAGAACCCTCATTGCTCAATGACCCTGAGTGCGGAGTATAGGTCAAATTTTGAAACCCATCACCAGCACACGGTGACTCTCTTTATAAGTGAAAAATTTTCGAACTTGACCTCCAAAAACATACAATCAATCAATCAATGTGGTTTCATTTTAGCGGCCCCTTTCACCATGTTATTGACATTCATTATGCTATAACGACCAAAGTAGCGAACGGTTGTGTGAAATATCGTTATTTATAGATTCTGCATTTTATCCTTAACAGTCTCATAGTTCGCGTTGGTAAAATATACATACAGTGCAGCGAACTAATTGTGTTACAGCATTGGTGTTGATTTGAATGCTTCCTTTGCTTGCTGATTAAATCCTTCTTCTTATCCTGATGCTGTTCTATAATTAGGTCAATGCTACCGGAAGTAGTGTCATGCTACCTTATGTAGCTAAATGAATTTCAGCATCGCCGTTTAAAGCAATAAATGTCCTTATATGGCCATTTGATTATAACTTTTCATAATGTATTAATAATTGAAATAAGTAAACCAGTTTTCTTTCACTGTTTTCAATTTCATACTGTATAAAACCTCAATGATTTTCTGATGCTAGTAAGTAAATGTTGATTTTAAGTAGGTCAATGCTAGGTCTATCCTTTGGTTGCTGATGCTGATCCTGGTAATGTTGTTTTTTTTAAATGCTGTTCCTGAAGTTAGCTGCATGCTGAAGCTTATATTGCTTGCGCTGATGATTTATGTAACAAGATAAGTTTCCTGCACTGTACATCTTCTATGAAAGAAATCATACTTTAATAGCATTGTCTATAACTTCCGATTGAGTAAATGTAGCTATAGCTAGAATTGTGACCCAAAATTTGACTTATCCAAACACTATATACAATAGCAATGTTTTAACAGGAGAACTGTGTGCTTTCTTGGTATGTTTTGTGCAATGTGATACATTATCATTCTGTTAGAAAACGGCTGTATATAGTATGCAAAATGTCAACATGTATAGTTTTCAGGAAAATATATCCATTATCATTAAATGCATGTCATTCCATTCTCTTCACATGAAAAATACAAAATGAAAAAAAAAAAAATAAAAATTTGAGATTGATATCTCTTTTTTCCATCTTTCATACATCCTTCTTCCTGAAAATTGTAGTAGGAATGTATTTAAATTGCAGTGATTATTCGTTCCACTATCTATGTCAACGTTTTGTTCAATGTCTTATTCCTCATTTTGTATGGTTTTATAATATGGAATGTGTTTTTAGTTAACTTTTGCAAGTCAACTTTTGTTGCGTTTAAAAAAAAAAATGAAAAAAAAAAAAAAAATATTTATCCTTTATCAAGCGGTAGTCTTCAGAGATAAGTGAGATGGAAATCTATGAAAATTTTATTTAATTTTGATTGATATTTACATCCTCGTACATCAAATGTGGGGATTCTGGATGAATAAACACAATTTAGAAATAAAGAAAAACTAAACAAAACAACATCAAAATCAAAATATATCTTGATGCTGATACCCAGAGCAGTAGAACCCCGATACACCGAACACGCTTATAATATTTCTTATTTGCAGTGAAATGATTATCCTTTCTTTTAGTTGTAAAACGTATCATAAATATATCAGACATAAAAACTTCCGTTTATAACTAGTTACATTTTTTCTCCCTATCGCTTCGCTATAAGCGTGTTTTACTGTAAATTTCATAAATTAAAAACGTTTTTAATATCATGGACAACTGCTTCCTCAATAAAAATGGAAGTCGAATATTTTTGTAATCTCTCTCGAGAGATGAGACTTTAAGTTTGAAACCCGGACATGCAGTCCCAGTGTATGCTGCCAGTGATAAGCTTGTGGTCTGGCAAATGACAGGATTTCTAAATATAGAGATGTAAACAAAACTGATCTGTCTTGTTATCAAACAAAAACAGACCATCTTAAAGAAAACCTACACAGGAATCACAAAGAGTCACAGATACAGAATCGCTTGGGTAGTGGAGGGTCTTCCAAATAAATGCCGTTATCTGGGCTATTGTGTAAATTATGGTCAACGCGTGTGATTAAAAAAGCACTAAACAGGGCATCGATTAGATCAGCCAAGGCATGGATCCAAGAATTTACAGAAAAACGAAATCAAAATGAAGGCATTTATATAAATACTCGAATTAAAATTTAAAAAACAACTGGTGTGAATTGATGTAGAAAACTTTACCTTTATGTGTACTTCATCAGTCAAACTTGATGTCATTCTTAAAATAGTTTTTTAAAAACAAATCTCATTCAGCGAATTTTATCCGTGGAAAAAAAGAAAATAAATGCACAAATTAAGCAGAGACAAAAACGCTTCTGACTTAAGAAACTACAGGCATTGTAAAAATCATAAAGAATCATTGCGAGTATTTTCACGAATGTCTGTACTATTCTTTTTGTTCTATAAAAATAAATAACTAAAAGACAAAGGTGTTACATGAACCTCTGCATAAGACGCAATTTTTTTTTATTTGACTCATATTTTAAGGATTTATAATTAAAGCACCTCCAATAATTTTCTTAATGTAATTTTAAATTGCATTATTGGCTTATGGAAAAAAAAAAATAAAATCACTTCTCTTATTCTTAAATGAAATATATGGAGATAACGAACAGCATTCAAGCTTAAAAGTCCATCAAACAGAGCAAAGGTGCAGAGCAAACACGGACCTCCAAAACATCAGAGGTGGGATCAGGTGCCATGGAGGAGTGAGCATCCCCTGCCAACCGGTCACACCCATCGTGTGCTCCTTGTCACGATCGGGAAATAACGGAAAAATCCGTAGACAATTCAGTGTGTAAATAATGGCATAACAATTAGAATGAAAAACGTCAGTCAGCATTTGACTCAATGATAAATTGTATTTGCTGACAAGGTCATTGTATCGACCATAGAACTTACGAAATGATGACTTTAAACGAGACAGCTGATATTCTTGTGTCACCAACTTGTTTGTCAATAGTTTACCTCGTTTTAGAAATTGTACATACATAGAGCATGCTCTTGCGTATCGAATCAACTGAGAGATATAAACCCCATATGCAGGTGATGAAGGTATATTGCTGCATAAGTAAGGGAAGTTGACGATTGAAAAGTTAAAGTCATCTCGTTTATCATAAAGCGTGGTTGTTAGATTACCATTAACGTCTTTTTTCAAGTAAAATATCCAAATATGAAACAGATGTGTCAGACTCTGTGGTATCTTTTATTTCAAGCTCACCGGGATATATCGTATCGACATAAGAATGGAAATAACCATTGTTAATTGACATTACGTCGTGGATATATCTAAATGTCGAGTTGAAGGCCACAGCAAGTGTTTTCTTCTTTTCATGTATAAGATTTTGGACAAATTCTGCTTCATATGAATACAAAAAAGGTCTGCAAATAACGGGGCGCAATTGGTACCCATGGGAATTCAAATAGATTGTTGGAAGACCTGGTATCCAATATCCACATTGATATTGTCAATCAGAATCTCAAGCATCTTTTTTATGTCAACTTCAGAGTACTTCTGTGTACAATCAGAATGTCTTTTTAACAAAATAATTTTGTCCAATAACAAGATAAGTATATAA